TAATGTAAGGAAACGCGAAAACATTCACGAACAATTCGTCAAGAGATTCGGTCGGATTCAACTCTTACCTTATACAACTGCAATGACAAAACTGTTTGAAATGTTTTTGCTCACTCCTCATTTTTATATACCGTGTTGCGGACAATCACTTCATGTTTTAAATTTTATTATCAATGTTTATAATGATTTATAATTATCAATAAACATTTTAACTATATGAATGCAATTATTTTTATCTCACGAAATGAATCCATTTAACACACATTTGCACTCATAATGTAAGTGATGTATGTACCTACATGAAGCATGGCTAATCGCGTCGTATTGAGAGTTATTGTAGCGACATCGAAGACCAAAAGATAGCCTGACGTTTTCACATGTCACATAACATTCGTAAACATCGAGTTGAATGAAAACATTGACTCTGAATTGACACGACGATTCATTCAGAAATAATTGGAGCAGTGTGTTTTTCTTGCGACATGCAATAGCCTCAGTGAGTGTATAACAAGCAAGGGAATAAAAATGAAGAGAAACGTGCAATTTCAATTACTTTAGCGTACAGTATAACCGGTGATAAATCGAACGGAGCAAAAGTACAATGAGACAAAGATACGCATACGCTAACGAAGCGTCAGTGATCACGTGTTATCGAGCCAATACCTGTCAGATCGAAGAGGGCCTCGACCGGATCAATTGCATTCCAATGAAGTCAGCGAGATCCATCGATGTACAGAGAGCTGATAACAGGGACATGCAACCGTCCACGTGGAACCGTGACGTTTTGTGATTGACAAAAGTTTCAGTGGCCGTCCGGGGAGGTGAAACACGTCCCAGTGGGAACAGTCGCGAAAATCGAAACGAATGTTGTTGCGGCTGCACGCAATTACAGTACGTCGACGTCGCGTTACGACGGCGTTGTATATGCCAATCGTGCGTCACCAGCCGTAACAAACACATGCATCGCAATCGCGTTTTCAATTGACAGTGCCTTCTTGTGGACACTGCGAGTACTAGTGATACTACGCTTGGGACTCGGACCTAACGCGCCTTTCTCGGAATTATTCGTGTGTCTTCGTCAGGCCGATACCCCCACTATCTAGCGATCCAGCATCATCTTTAAATAATTGAATCGATTAACGCTCTGCACGATCTTTCCCAATGGTCGGTGTGATCGATGGATCTTCCAAAGTGCAGCAGATGGGAAGAAAGTCAGCTTGTGAAAGCGGCATTGGAAGACGAAATGCTACTTCACGAATACGATTTGCCAACAGCACTGTGAAAAGATTTTAAGAACAGTAATGATAATGAAGATGAGAATGATTAAAGCAAATGCAAACAAAAGAGACAAATAAAGGAAAATAAGATCTTTCAAAATCTTTGTTCTGGTGAAATTTAATGCCGAATAACATTCTAGAAATATTTTCGGGTATTTTCTTAAAAAAAGAAGTTTTATAAAATTGGATTGCGATTTCAATTGACAACCATAGTTCTAAAATAATTTTTATTCGAGAGTATATTTTAATTTTTACTGTTCCTCTATAATGATTTAACCATTAAGATATTATTCTAATATATAATTTATATATATATATATATTCTTTAAATTTTCAAATAATATATATATTATATAGTATATTTATTATACTGTACAAAATCTATACAAAAATTATTTGTAGCTCTGAAAAGATATTGTTATGTATTATAATTTTGGCATTATTGTACAAGGATCTTTTAAATAAGGAAACATTAAAATATAAAAGTGCATAGAAAAATATGATAAATAATGTTATAAAAAGATCTAAACATCAATCTTCATTGATCGAGCGATACTACTGCCTGTAGATAGACAACCCATTCTACTGCAACGTCAGTCGCTTGTACAGCAGTGGAATCAGTCAGATAAGTCAGGCATAAATTAATATGAAAAATATTTGAAGATTATATGATAGAAATTTATTACAAGGAATGTAATAAATTTCATATTATTTAAAAAAATATTATCTAATTAATTTATTTGAATATATTTCTCCTTAGCAATATTGTTTCTTTTTTTCTAATATAGTGAAATGTACAGTGTACGTCATGATTATGTATATACGAAGTAAAGGTCTTTAGTAATAATGTAGAAAGTTAAAAGTCAGGTATAAGTTAAATGATGTAATTTGTGTGATGGTAAATCAGTAGGTAAATCAATATACAGTATAATGTATAATAAAGTGAAGAATTGTAGATTGTTGATTTTGACAAGGAAATAGTATTTCGTCATTTATTATATTAGTATACTGTACCGTGTTATATATTTATATACATACTATATTAATATATTACTGGTATGTACTGGTATATATAGTATACATGTACTGGTATTTATACTATATAATACATTATATAAATACGTTATACCATATTATATATAT